TTGAATGTGTGTCTGAAGAGTCAGACTTTGGTCATCATAGTTATATGGATTCCATGGAGTCAGACAAAATCCCCTACAGTGAAAACATAGAGAAGGATTGAAAGAATATTTGAAGAAATAACAGTCAAAAACCTCCCAATTTTGATTTTAGAAAAACATTCATCTGGATATGCAAAATGCTCAACAAACTCCAAGTGGGATAAATTCCAAGAGATCTGCACAAACACTTCATAGCCACACTGTTGAGAGCCAAAGACAAAAGTGAGAATCTTGAAAGGAACAACAGAAAAATGACTCATCACATGCAAGAAATCCTCAATAAAATTAACAGCTGACTTCTTATCAAAATCTATGGGAGCCAGAAGGCAATGGAATCATATGCAATAGAACCTTCATAGTTGACCACCTCCCAACATTGACCCCTTCCTTAAATTGACCTAATTAAGACATGGACATGCACCACATGTATGTATCAGTACAGTAGGCCTAGTTCCTCATGTTGACCACCTCTGTGTGTTGACTAATCTGTTACAATCCCTTGGTAGTCAACTTACAGAAGCTCTAATTTATTTAATGTGCTGAAAGAAAAGAAAAGACCATTAACCAAGAATTATATATTCACTAAAACTGTCCTTTGATATGAAGGAGAAATTAAGACACTCCCAGATAAAACAAACACTGCGAAAATTCATTGTTAACAGACCTGCCTTACAAGAAATACTACAGGAAAATATTCATATTAGACATTAGACAATAACTTCAAATCACTTGGAGAAATACAGAACACAGAAAATGTAATAAAGTATTGGTGAGGATGTGGAGAAATTGGATCTTTCATACTTTCCCAGTAAGAATGTAAAATAGTATAATTGTTGTTTTGAAACATAATGTGGCAGTTTCCTAAAAAGTTAACCAGAGTTGCCATATAAGCCAGCAATTTTACTCTTAGGTATATACCCAAAAGAAGTGAAAACATGTCTGTACAAAAATTTGTACTTGGATGTTCATAGCAGCATCATTCATAATATTCAAAAAGTAGAAAAAACTTAAATGCTCAAGTTAAATGTTGTATATATCCATATGATTAAATATTATTCAGCAATAAAAATGACTAAACATCACCTATTATATGATTCCATTTACTTGTATGTAATGCTCAGAATAAAATCTATCGAGATGAAAAGTAGATTAATGCTTGTCAAAGACTGAGGGGTTAAGGGGGGAAAGTGAATATGACTACTAATGGGAATGGGATTCTCTTTGGGGGAGATGAAAGTATTCTGGAATTTAATAGTGGTGATGGATAACAAAAAATATTAAAAGCAGTGGACTTGTACACTTTAAATGAGTGAATTGTATGACACACAAATTACAGCTCAATAAAGCTATTTTTTTTAAAGGGACACTATTCATTGATAGCCCATCTAAAACAGAGATAAAGTGTATCAGGAATGAGACAAATCATCAGGAAGTTTAATTCAATGCACAGAATATTTTTTCAGTAATATATCCATTTTTATCTGGACATACAGAAACATCTGAAAACTAAATTTGATCCTTAAATATATGGGTACATGAAGATACAGTATTCATAGCAAAAGCACTTGCTAGAAGAAAAGGCAAAGAATGACTATACATAATCATTCAGGGGCCTGCCTTGAGTATAACTGGCATAGATAGACACCTAAACCATGGATTACAGTTGAAGAAAAGTCTCCTGCCCCCCTAAATAGATCCTCATAGGGCCACAGCACCTGAAATTCAACGATCATTGTTTCCCCTAGTCAACTCTTCACAAATTCAAATGCTAAATATTTTAAATCTTCCACCTTTGTATAAATGAAGTTTATTCTTCCTTGTGAAGCTCTCAGTGATTTAATGTGTCAACAGTTAGAGCTCTAGTTCTCTCCCCACCTCCCTTCCCTATCCTGGGCTCAGGACAAGCACTGATCCACAGCCCGTTAGGAACCCAGCCATATAGCAGGTAAGCATCAGGTGAGCTTGTATCTACAGCTGCTCCCCATTGCTTGCATCACTGCCTGAGCACTGTCTCCTGCTAGAGCAGTAGCAACATTAGAATCTCACAGGAGTGTAAATGGTACTATAACCTCTGAGTACAAAGAGTCTAAGTTAAACATTCCTTATGAGAATCTAATGTCTGATGATCTGAAGTGGAGATATAATGTGCTTAAATTATCCTGAAACCATCCCCCTCACCCCATACCCTGGTCCATGAAAAAAATTGTCTTCTCTGAAACCTGTCCCTGGTGCCAAAATGGTTGGGGACCACATAGTTAAGGGAATGGAGAACATCCATTAAGGACTGTGCAGTGGGAGTTTGAGGCACAACAGGGAGTGAAAGCCCTCAACACCAGCCTTACTTCAGTTTTGAAATCATGAAGGTTTTGTTTGTTTTTAGTTTTAACTATTAAGCAATTCCCAGCAAAGAAATAATGAGGAAATTTATAAATTCCCTTTGCCTGGGAATCCCAGTCCCCTTGGTTCAGGAGCTCTGAGGCTAATTTGGTGGGAAGTTCTCAAGAGTCTTGATTGTCTTGAAGGGCTCCTCTGACCACCCCACCCCCAGTTGCTAAGGTCCCAAGCTCCTTCCTGGCAAGAAGATTGTGGACAATTAAAAATAATTATATTGTTAGACATCAGCAATGAAAGACTTTAAACAGATGGGTAAGTACCCAGAGCCTCTTGTACTTTAATTTAAAAATTACAGCTTGGTCTGATTAACAAGAAGCTGCGATTTTCAGCACTTGAGTCCAATGGTCTCTTGCCCACTCATCAGTGGTATGTAATCACTTCTGTTGGACACACAGTAGAGATTGCTGAACTCGTTTATTTTACTATCTCACATAGCTCCTGAGGGAAAGGCAAGGTGGAAATAAATTGTGAGCTGGTACATGTATTGTCCACATCTCTGGGCCTGTGTTAATCAGTGCAATCACTCCCGAAAGCCTCCTGGCTCTCAGGCACGGCATTAATTGCTTCATTGGCTGGCCCTTAATTTGTAAGTAAATCAGAGACATACAACTTCAAATTCAGAGAATTGATTTTAAATTAGTATTTACTCATTTTACATGAGTCCAAGACTCTCCACTTAAGGGATTTCCAGGAAGCCTTGTACATTATTCATTATACGCTGGTACCAACAGGGGAAATGGGATATTGCCACCAGCTCTGTTTACTGTGACAAAGAAACATTCAGACCAGAAAAGGAGAACTGAGTACTTATAGAGGTGAGTAAGGACATAGCAGTATTTCAACCATATGAAAAATTTCTGTAGTCCAGGCCAGAAAGAGCAGATGGGAGAAAGAAATTCTAGTTGGTGTGGGCTCCAAAGTACTGCCAAGGACCCCCAGAGGACATCACACTGCCTTCATAGGTGGGACAAACAGCCCTTCAATCCATGATAATCACCAGAGTTTATTTTCCCATTGAAATGTTTTTTGATTTTTTTTTTTTTTGAGACAGAGTCTCGCTCTGTTACCCTGGGTAGAGTGCCCTGGCGTCATAGCTCACAGCAACCTCAAACTCTTTGGGCTCACGCGATCCTCTTGCCTCAGCCTCTGAGTAGCTGGATATATAAATGCCTGCCATGATGTCTGGCTAGTTTTTCTATTTTTAGTTTAGAGACAGGGTCTTGCTTGTCCTCATGCTGGTCTCAAACCAGTGAGCTCAAGCAATCCACCTGCCTTGGCTTCCCAGCGTGCTAGGATATAGGCATGAGCCACTGCACCCAGCCTGAAATGATTTTTAATAGTATCACAGAAAAAAAAAATAATAGCTAGGATAGCCCCACACATTGCACACTGTGGAAAATGTTCAGAAGCACATGTATATACGTAACCTGTAGAGGTACTCCCTCTTCCCCAGCCCTCCTGCTACCATCTTGCCTTACCTGTCAAATCCTCCCTGAAGAAGACCTAGATCAAATGTCACTTCACCTGTATAGATTCTCCCAACTTACTGGGCATGAAGTTTCTCTCCACAGCATTCACCTACTGAGTTCTGCCAGTTCTACCTCCAAAATATTTCCTGAGCGTATCTTCTCCTCTGTAGTCTAGCCAAGCTCTGCTAGACTACAGGACTTCTTTTTCTCTTCCCTGGATGACTTCTGTGGGTTTGCCCCCATATTTACCCTTCATACCCCTATAGGTGGATGGCCTCTGATGGAGTAGGGGGACTGTGGGGAGGAAGGAGCTCAAAGGAGTTCAAGGGTGGGTGACACAGACCAAGTCATGAAAGGGCTAGGAGAGCAGGAGCTTGTGTTGGAAGGCCGGGGATGCAGGATTCAAAGAAGGGGCAACTCCACAGAACAATCCTGAGTGGGGTGCCAGGTGTGGCTGTCTGCGTGGGCTGGGGGTGGAGGACAACAGACTGAATGGGCCAGGGAGTGGCTGAGGGTGCTTCAATGTGGACATTGAGAAAAGTAGACAAAGGCTTTTCAGTTTTTAGTATTTATAAAATTTACTTGGCATGCTTGATAAAATACACATTACCAGGCATAAGCCTCAGAGAGTCTAATCAGCATATCTAGAGCCAGGCCCAGGAATCAGCATTTTAACAAACACTACAAGCAATTTTGATATAAATAGGCCCTTGACCACATTTTGAGAAACATTGTCCATTTGGGGCTGAACTGTGGTCTCCTCCAAAATTCATATCTTGAGTTACCCCCCCCCAAAATGAGACGGGATTTGGAGGTAGGTAATTAAAGAGGTAATTAAGATAAAAGGAGGTAGTAGGGGTGGGGCCTAATTTATTAGGACTGGTGTCCTTGTAAGAAGAGGACCTTCGGACACAGACTTGCACACACAGAGAGAAGAAAATGGGAGGACACAGCCAGATGAAGGCCACTTGCAAGCCAAGGGGAGAAGTCACAGGAGAATCCAAAGCTGCCAGCACTTTGCACTTAGACTTCCAGCTTCCAAAACTGGGAGACAAAAAAATTTTGTTGTGTAAGTCACCTCGTCTGTGGGGTTTTGCTACAGAAACCCTAAGAAACTAACACACTGAACACATTGTCCTAGGGCTATGGCAGAGTTAGTGTCTAGGCATTAACCAAGGTACACATTATGCCATCTTTAGTAAAGAGGGGAAGTGACCAGAGGCCAACAGAGGATGGAACTGAGCCGGGGTAGAAGGCAGTAGCATGAGATAGTGAGAGCCTCTCAAGAGGGCCTGGGCAAGAGCCCAAACCTGCAGAAGGCATCAGAAGAATCTCTCTCCTGCCTGCCTCACAGTTCACAAGGTGGGAAAACAGGGTTCCTGGAGGAAAATCATGCTTCAGTCAAGCAGTGGGTGGAGGTGAAAAATATTCTGAACAAAGTCCAGGTTGCTTTCTGGAAACCTTGACTAAAATGACAATCTACCAATTCTTTTAAAGATGTAACCAAACGAAAAAGGTTTCACCAACAAAGTTAGGGACAACAGAAATAAAATTTTGGAAGCTAGAGAGCAGCAAGAAAAGGGGTAAATGTCTTAGCATGGTAGTCCTCAAAGTGTGGTTCCCTACCAGCAGCTTTGACATTACCTAGAAATTTGTTAGACAGGAAGATTCTTGGGTCGCTCTCCACACGTATTGAATCAGAAACTCTGCAAGTGGAGCCCAGAAATCTGTATTTTAGCAAGCCCTCCAGGTGATAATGTATGCCAAAGATTGAGAACCTCTGACTTAGCTGACCAGAGGATGGATCAGAGTTTCGAGTTGCAAAATTCAAGAATCAACCAGATAATTACCCGTCTTAGGCATAGGAAGGAAGCAACAGGTAGAGGTAGGGACTGAGAATTGGTTAGAAGAGTTCAGAAAGTACCCAAGACCCTCCTCCCTCGCTCTTTATACCTATAGGCTCAATTCTGGCATGCAAATTGACAGATCAGGTGAGAATAGATGTATTTCTGTTTTGGTGGACTACACATCATATTACGTCCCAATTTGAGGAGCTTCTATGTTATCACAGTTACAGGAAGATGACTCCTTATTCCCAAAGCAAATATTAATGAATGTAAAAGCCAGGGTGGTGTCTTGGTATAGCCACTGAACCGGGAGGGAAGAGATCTTGTCGTAGATCTAACTCTGTCTCTAACTAACTGTTTAACCATGTCAAGAACTTCCAGCTGCTCATCTGTATCGGGTTATTTTAAGGGCCTTTGAACACAAATATTCTACAATCATATATTCACTTAAGAATGAAGAACCACCCAACTATAGGCCAAGAAGAAGAGGAAAGAGGAGAGAGAGGGGAGGGGAGAGGGGAAGATGGGTGGAGGGAGGGAAATTGGTGGGAACACACCTAAGGTGCATTTTATAAGGGTGCAATGTTAAATTTACTAAGTGTAGAGTATAAATGTCTTAACACAATAACTAAGAAAATGCAGTGAAGGCTATGTTAACCAGTTTTATGAAAATATTTCAAATGGTATATAAAACCAGCACATTGTACCCCATAATTGCATTAATGTACACAGCTATGATTTAATAATAATAAAAAAAAAAGAATGAAGAACCATAAAGGAGAAGAAACAAGGTGCTAATTACAAACATTGCCTAATTAGACTTAACAGAACGATGATCTCTTTTTAGATATTTGCTGTCTAGGGCTTCTATGTTTTTAAGTAATTAACTCCAATCAAATCATTTCAATATATCTATACAGAACTTCTACTGGGTGTGCAAATGCAGAGCACTGATAAATATCACACAATACCTGTGAAATGACATTATTGAAATACTTAGAAGGGCACCTGGAACTATAGTGACACTGTTATCTATATATTTTTACCATTTTGTAATTTTGCAATATTACTTTCCTATTACAAAATGAAGGACTACCACAAAAATAGCAAATCGGGTAATTATCTTAAGTGCCAATTCTGATCAATCATTAACGTCTGCTCAGAGTGCCATATTGAGGGCTACAAAGCTCATTTCAGACTTGGTGGGGGAGAATGTTGTGATCACTTGGTAATGTCTACCCATGGACTTGTGCTATGTATTTGCCAACACTCTGCCACTATAACCTAGAAGCAAAAAGACCTCCCTTTGGCTCTTTAAATGTAGATGCTGAACTCCAGATTAAAGGCTCAGACCCTCCCCTTCTATCCTTAAAGAAAAATAGAAGAAGAGAGAGAAGAAGATGAGATAGCAGCCACATATAGCTGTAAGAGCCCAGATCCAACTTTCCTTTGGGGGAGCATTTTATGTTTAATTTGAGGGTAACAAGAGGATATCTTTTAATTTGGGGGAGACTCTAGAGAACTATTGTTCAGTGCACATTATTTTCATCCCCTCAGAGCCAACTGAAGACCCATACATCTTCTTTCCTCCCCTTCACACCCACCCCAGTAGAGCTCTAGCATCATGCCTTGGCAATGGATCCTCCAGGCCGATCTTTAGTCCAGGACCTTCTAATCCACTTTGACTTTCAGAAGAGCCTGATGATATACAACAGTCAAGACTCTGAGCCCCCCTTGGCACACCAAGCCCACCACTGCCTCCTCCAAGACGGTGAGCTGGTCAGTACTCACTGCTCATTATCCTCCGCACCGTTGGGCCTTCTGCAGTCATTTCCCTCACGATCTCATTGTCATCCTCGTTGGCATCCAGCCAGCGGTTGCAATTGAAGTTATACTTGTCCTTATTCAGAGTATTCATCAGGGTCATCTGGAATGAAATCCTGGGGTGAGCAAGTGTGTGTATCAGAGATAGTCACCCATGCCCTGGAGACCCCTGTTCTGCTGTATCACTGCAGGAAGGCCAAGGCCATCTCCCAGAGAGGATCCCTGTGGAAGGCAGAGTCAGATTAGTACTTTTTTCCTGGTCCCTTGAAGACCCACACTTGCCTAGCAGCCAGGGACTGGTTGAGCACAAGGCCCCTGAACACCTCAGCATTTTCTCAGTATATTTTGGAAGTTCTTCTTCTCATCTCTCCCTGTCTTCCTCCTGTCACCTATATCCAAATTCAGGTCTCATGACAGCGCTTTTGTACCCCCCCACTCCCAATTAATAGGAGCAAATTAATGTGACGGGGTCCTAGAAAGGGACCACTGTGGTTCCTCTCCCAGTGACCTCCCAAACCCCAAGATGGTACATCTCACCCTTTCTAAATGCCATCCAGAACCAGGATTCCTCTTATCATGCCATGCCCGAATCTTATAAAACCTGCCGAGATCTGGGAGCTCAATCTATGGCAAAAAGTAGAAAGGTTTGAGTGGGCATAACTGAGAAATGCACTTATCCTCATAGCTTACTCCCTACAGGAGGGTACCTGCTGTGGGCTGTTTCTTCAGCAGAGAGGACCACCCTTACACATCCTGTCCTCTTGCAACCCTTGTAACCAGTGGCACATGAAGGCAAGACAGCCACGAAGAGCTAGGGCTCAATCTATGCTGGTGAAACTGAACCAATATAACCGACCCACCATGGGATCCAGACTAAAGTGGCCCCTCCAAGCAATAAACTTCCAGTAATAAAATCTATAGGGCAGCCCTGTAAATTAGCACAGGCCCACAGCCCCAGAGTTTCACTGGGCACTGAAATAGACCAAAAGACAAATCCAGCGGTCATGTCCTTTCCCTTGGGCCCACCATCTATGGGGAAGACAAATACATAGAGAGCAATGGACTGAGTGCCATAATAAAGGCACCAAGGGGTGTTCTGAGAGGAGACCAGCAAATTACAAATTATTCCTATCTAAAGGTTGAAGTAGCACTTCTGTTAGGAAACAAAAAAAATAAAGCCGTTCCCTAGTTATATACATACCAAAAAGTTTTAAAGTTGAATTTATTTTTAAATGTTCTAATATTCCTAAAAGTCATATACTTTCTCTTCAATTTGGGCTTTCTTCTCTAAAACAATCTGGATTGGGCGATCTGACACACTGTGCTCAGGGTTTCTGTTCTTCAGTGATTCCCCAAGTTGCTCAATTCCTAGATGTCCAAACCCCTTCATTCCATACTTGCTTCTTCCCCCAGGCTTATCTTGGGACTGTTTGATTCACATGGAGGGCCAGGTCTAAATTGTGCCCCATTCAATACCTTGCCTGTACATCATCAAATGTGTCACCTTTGGCAGGTGCTTAAAGGCTCCGTTGTACCTTTTTGTCTTCATACTTGCTCCAAAATCTGGCTTAGAGAACCAGAATCTTCATGACACACACCCTACCATCCTCTTCTCCCTCCCACCCTGTTGCACTCCTCTCCTACCCTGAACTTCTCGATTATGCCGGGTTTGAACCACTTGTTGTTGGGATTCAGGAGAATCTCATCCGTCCGTCCCTTCTGCCCATAAATCTGGATGAAGATGGGAGTGTTGGTACCAGCTTTCTTCAGGTCAGTTGTCCAGACCCACAAGGACCAAGGGAATTCTATGAGACAGATCAAGTTGCACCAAAAACTTTCAGAAGTGAAAAGATTTTCAGGTTCTCAGCGGAAAAGAGGAAGAAATTCAAAGTGATCAGGAATGATCAGTACACATGTTCAACCCCCTCTCAGAAACCCATTATAACAAGTGCCAAACTTAGAAAGCTAAACAGTCCTTGCTAAAGGCTGTGTGTGGTGGCTCACATCTGTAATCCCAGCACTCTGGGAGGCTGAGGCAGGTGGATTACCTGAGCTCATTAGTTTGAGACCAGCCTGAGGCAGAGCAAGACCTCATCTCTAAAAATAGCTAGGCACTGTGGCAACACCTGTAGTCCCAGCTATTCCAGAGGCTGAGGCAAGACAATTGAGCCTATGAGTTTGAGATTGCTGGGAGCTGGGATGCCATGGCACTCTACTACGGGCAACAAAGTGGGACTCTGTCTCAAAAAAAAAAAAAAAGATTTCTCTTAAAATTAGGATCCCTTGGGCTGGCGCCTGTGGCTCAAAGGAGTAGGGCACCGGCCCCATATACCAGAGGTGGTGGGTTCAAACCCGGTCCTGGCCAAAAACTGTGAAAAAAAAAATTAGGATCCCTTATTACTTTTATTTTTAATTTTTTTTTTATTGTTAGGGATTCATTGAAGGCACAAGAAACCAGGTTACACTGATTGCATTTGGTACATAAAGTCCCTCTTATTATTGTCTTGCCCCCAAAAGGTGTGATTATTAGAGAAATACAAATCAAAACCACACTGAAATATCATCTAACTCCAGTGAGAATGGCCCTTATTACTTTTTTTAATGGCTAAAGCTTATTAGTATGCTTCAAATGGAGAATTGGCCACCCACCCTACGTTCAGCACATTCCGGGTGCACTGTAGTGAGCCATTCAGGTTAATACCACACCTATCAGAACATCTTATTCAATTTGGGGACACTGGAGTCAGCTTGGTTCCAGGAGTGTAACCCAATATGGCCTGTACCCTGGGACTGCTGGGGGGCCTTTTCCCTTCTTTCGTAGAGGACAACTGAGAAGCAGGAGTGGTTGGCCCCCTGGGCTTTTGCCTAGTGGTCTGACATCCTGGCCCTGTCTGAGAGGCCTCTGGGTTCTGAGTCTCTTCTACTTACTTTTCAGCCGCTTCTTCCTGAGTGACATCATCTCATAGAGCTGCCTCTCGATCAGCCCATCTACTTTCTTCTCATCCAGCCAATTGCTGCAAGGGAAGGTCTGCTGTATGCCAGTGAAAGGGCACAAGATCACGACCTGGGGAGCAGAGCACAGCGCCTCCTTCATTGGGCCCCGCTGGGACTTCTTCACAATGCTCAAAAGCCTCCTCAGCCCCACGTTAAGGGACATCTGTCTTAGGACCCTCAAGGAATGACACTTTTCCTTTTACATATCTCATTAAATCTTAATTCAAGAAATGCCTACTCCAAGAAGTCTTCCAAAGTAGGTGCCACCCATTCTCTAATTTACCAGTCAAATTGCAAACATTTTCCTCTATACAAAACACCCTCCTTGAGCACCACATTTCTTCATGCACATTGTAAAATCTCAGTTAATCTAACCCAAATGAACCAGAATATTGAATTAAATCCATATAATTATTTTGTAGAAATAAGGTCAATCACATAAAATCTAATTAATATCTGGAATTTAATACAAAAATCCATTGCCCTCTTCTAGGCTTGATCCTCTAGCTCTAGTCACATTCTGAACTCATGGATTTAGAACATGGATGAGGCACTCAAATATGGATGCTCAAAGGAATGTGCCTGGCACAACAGCGTCTTCTATCAGCAAAGAAATTTTGACTATTCACATTACTGGATTCTAAGCTTTTCTTTCTTTTGAACTTGAAAACTAATTTGACTCTCTCATTGGACAAGCTTTTGAGTAACCATTGTCTCACTGGGTGTTTATTTGTTGTCAGCTGTTTATAGAGACTACAATTGACTGTAACTTGAATTCTTACCCTTAGGCATCCTCAGGTTTCTCTGAGAATTCATCTAATATTCATTACCTGACCATCATGATGAATCTTATTTATAGGAAACACCAAAGGGAGAGATGCTAAGAGATAAGGAAATACTTCTCCCTAGAGATAAATGATGGCTCAGGACCATAGGCAGTAGCCCCTACAAATGTTTCAGCCCTCTGGCACAAATGAATCGACAATTAATACAGTTCACCCATCATGCATGCAATGGATGGGAGCGCAGAAGTCCAGAAAGGAGAATGTAGTACCCAAGTTTGCACATTTAGTTAGTGGCAGAACCAGAAATATAAATACTTCTCACACTAACTATCCCCTTGGGATGCTTTCTACCCATCAGCAAGAATCTCAGAATTCCTATCTATGACAGAGGCCCACTGGGATCCAGTGTTGTACTCCATCCTTTATGCTGAACATTCCATGTGGTCACATATTCGGAAGGGGACCTGTATACATGCAAAGGTGGAGGGCACCCATACTGGTGATCTGGGAGCAGAGAAAGGTGAAATCACCAACAATTTATTTATGAGTCTTTCTTTCTTCTGAACAGTTGTCTCTTCCTAGTTTACTCTTAAATTGTTCTCTGGTTGTTCCACTAACATATTGGTTAGTTTTGTCTTTTCAACAATAGCAAAATTATGGAAGTCTGAGTTTGTGTCTTCTCATCCTTTGTGGTTGCCCCAAATATATTAATACTTCTAAGCCTACGGTAAATACTTTAACATACTTGTTAAAAGCTCTGCTTCTGGAAGGCTACAAATTGGGAAAGCCCCAAAATATAATACTGTTACTAGAGTTTGTGGTTTTCATTTCAGGATTTTATTTGTGTTATTGTGATAAATATAACTATCTTGAGGGTATCATACTTGGTTATTTAAAAAATATTCTCTTATTCCCTTTAAAAATAGATTAGCATGGTATTATATACATGTGTGTGTGTGTGCACGAATGTGTATACGTATTTTAAATTACCCTTCTGGACTAGGTAGTCAAAATGACTAGGAGGTCTGGAAAGCCCCCTCATTGCCAAATATCCATGTGTTAGATAAATAACAGCAAGTATCATTTTATATATATTATTGAGCTGCTGAGGAGTTACAGAAAAGCCACAGGAGCCAATAAAATTCAGAATAAGCAGAAACCAGAGAATGGGCAAATGTGAATGCTAAAGTTGGTGTTCCCCTGAAGCAAGAAAGATAATGCCAGGCTATTGTCTTGGAGACCAGGCTATTAATTAATGGCCATCTGAGTAAGCAGGAGACTAGGCCTTGGGATTTACAAAGTAGAGGATCTGAATTAGATACACTCGAATAAGCAGAAACATTCAAAAAACTGCTTTCTCAGACAAAAGGAAAAAATTGTAAAGGGAAGCCTACATTCTCCACCTTTGTTCCAGACAGAAAATAATGACAGTTTCCCCTAAGAACTTGTTAACATAAGTTTGGTCACGGTAAGGATAAATACCAATAAATGCACACCTGCATATTAAAGGGAAGCATTAGAATGCCAAAGACAAAAATATTCAGAGCATCATAAGGAAAAAGACATATGATGACAGAAAATGTTGGGGAAAGAGAACTCTGTATCCTAACATTATTTTTCAAGAATAAGAAGGAAATCAAAACATTTTTCAAGTGAACAGAACAGAATTTACCAACAATAGACCTTCACTAAAGGAACTTCTAAAGGATACATTTAAGAAAGAAGAAAACTGACAACAGAAATGATGTTTTAAATACAGAAAGTAGCAAATAAATTGGCAAACATACAGGTAAATTTGAATGAACAATAACTCTATTGAACAATAATATATAATATGTGGATTTAAAAATAACTCAAAATAGAGCTAATATGTGAGGCAAAAATACAAATAATCAATAAGCACATGTAAAAAGATAATCAACATAATTTATCATCAGGAGCATACAGATTAAAACTATAATTAGAGAGCAATACATACCCATTTGAATATCTTAAAAAGAAAAGATTGGAAATGCCAAGTGATGGTGAGAAGTAGAACAACTGGAATTCTCATATATTACTGGTGGGCATAAAAAACAATATAGCCATTTTAAACACTTTGGAAAATTTTTTTAAAGTTAAAATATATATTTGCCGTAAGATCTAGCAATTCTACTGTGGGTATTTATTTAACAAAATTAAAAACATTTGCCTATACAAAGACTTGGTACCTGAATGTTCATAGCAGCTTTATTCATAATAGCAAAAAGACTAAAATGACCCAAAATCCAATCAATAACTGAATGGATAAACAAACTGTTGTATTTCCTAAGAAGTAAATAACTGCTTATCAATAAAAAATGAATCTCAAAGATATGAAACATGATAAATCTCAAAAACATTATGGTGAGCTAGAGAAATAAGACACACAAATACAATAGGTGCATAAATACAATAACTTATGAAGTTATACTTCATAAATAAAGGAGAAATAGAACATTGAATGATTCTAGTTCTATTAAATGCTAGAAAAGACTAACCTAACCTTTAATGGCTGAAATTAGATTAGTAGTTGCTTTGGTGGATATTAGCTGGGAAGAAGCACAAGGAAATATTTTGGGGTGACAAAAACATTCTATATATTGATTCCAGTGATGGTTACTCAGGTGCTACATTTGTCAAAACTCATAGAACTGTATGCTTTAAAACAGTGTATGTCACGTCAATTATACGTCAATAAAGTATAATGAAAAAAAGAATTTTTACACTGAAACAAAATTAAACTGAATGATAATAAAAATAATCCATGTAATGTATGAAATGGAGCTATAGCACAAATCTAAGACAAAATTATAGTATCAAATGCTTATATAAGAAAAGAAGAAGGCCAATAATTAATGAGATTAGAATCCTACTTAAGAATTTCGAAATATAACAATAAATGAAACTTGGAGAAATTAAAAAGAGATAAAGTTAATAAAAGAAATCAATAAAACAGAAAACAGAGCTTCCACGATAGACCAGATCAAGCATGAGAAAGACTTCTAAAACTTGAAGGCAGGTGTTTTGAAATAACCTAGTTAGACAAAAATAAAGAAAAAGAATTCAGAAAAATCAATTCTAAAACAGTTTTAAAAAACAGCAAGAGAAAAGCATCTAGTCACTTATAAGGAAAGTCCCAACAGACTAACAGTAGATTTCTCAACAGAAACCTTGCAGGCCCAGGAAGAATGGAATGATATATTCAAAGTGCTGAAAGAAATAGACCTTTTAGTCAAGGATACTAAAAACAAAGTTACACTTCAAAAATAAAGGAGAAATAAAGTATTTCCCAGACAAACAAAACCTGAGGAAATTCATCACTATTAAACCAGCCCTATAAGATACATAAGGTAATCCTGCACCTGGAAGCAAAATGATATCTACAATCCTGAAAAGATGTGCAAGTATAAAACCCACTGGTAGAGCAAACACACAAATAAGGAAGAGAAAAGATTCAACGTTCCCATTACAGAAAACTACCAAAACACAATGATAAACAATAAGAGAGAAAGAAAGGAACAAAGAATATATATATAAAAAAAAAAGAAATCAATTTTAAAAAAACAGAGATAAGCCCTCACATATCGATAATAACCTTGAATGTAAATGAAAGAATTTTTCCACTTAAAATATATGGTCCTGCTAAATGGATTAAAAAAACATGACCCAATTGTATGCTGCCTACAAGAAATTCATCTCACTTCTAAAGACACAGACAGACTAAAAGTAAAAGGATAGGAAAAGATATTCCATACAAATGGAAACCAAAATAAGCAAGAGTTGATGTACTTATATCCAATAAAATAGACTTTAAGACAAAAATATTGAAAAGAGATAAAAAATAATTATATAATGATAAAGTGATCAATTCAGTAAGAGGATGTAATAGTTCTAAACATGTATTTGCCAACACCAGAGCACCTAGATATATAAATTAATAGAACTAAAGGAAGAGATAGACCCCCCCCATATAATAATAGTTGGAATTTCAATACCCCACTCCCAGCATTAGACAGATCATCTAGAAAATTAACAAAGATTGGATTTCAACTGCACTTTAGACCAAATGGTCCTAACAGACATTTACAGAACATTTCATCCAACAGCTACAGAATACACGTTCTTCTCATTAGCACATGGAACATTCTCTGGGATGGACCATATGTCAGGACACAAAACAAGTCTCAAAAAATTTTAAAAACTCAAAATCATATCAAGTATCTTCATAGACCACAATGGAAAAAAACTAACAATCAATAAGAAA